ATTTCCTATGTCTATTCATATAATCTAATCAGAGGTTGAGCTTGCCAGGAAAAGGTGGAATATACACGTCGATAACATTAATTCTGCAAGCTCAGGCCTGAGGCGAACAAGGGGCTATTCACGGGGAGGCGCTAGATCTTGGAGATTATACCAGTTGACAGAATAGTTCAGGAGATTAATGACTTTCTCAAATAGACAACTGACACTAATTAAACTATAAACATCAGATTCTCTGATGTTGGGGCGACAAAATGATATAACTTCAGGCGCGATCAGAAACTCATGGATACCCCCACGGACGACATAAAATACGCCACTCTAGCTGGCAAACTCGACACTCACTTACTTGACACGTTCTACTAACGATAAGGACAGTTGAAGCATTCTACCCCACTCACAATGGATCTTGAATGTTCCAACTGTAAACAGACATATCTAAGTTGACTCAAAACAAGGGTGTTCTCTCTCACACTCAAATTCATTTTATAGAGAGGTTGGTTTCAGTAAGTCAGAGAAAATGGGATAACGGAGGACTGAGGTGTCTTGAAGTGATGAGAAAACGGACTCCTCAGATGGAGGACTCAAACGAAAGCCGAGTTACATGTTTTGTGGGCTATTAAGTGTAATATGAATCATTTGATTTTGGCGCTAACTGACGTGTAAGACCGTGGTCATTACAAAGCTTTCCCCTCCCAAAGATTCAATATTATGCGGTATAGTCGACAAAACATTCACAGTAAATACAAAATTTCAAACACAATATCTTGCACTACTGGGATAATGGTCAACAATACAGGTAACACACATGTTACAAAATTTTCACATACATAAAATTTTGCAACTCAAATGAATAATCACAAAAACTCCCAGACATGGGCAGATAAAACTAACAAAGCAATACTGGTCATGACCCACAGAAGAACATAATCATACATCAATAGTACAGACATAATAATAAAAACAGGCCGGCCTTAATTATAGTTTTTGTACATTTGTAACTACACCATCCACCAGGATGACAGGTAGTTTCCATCTAGGCGATTGATCACATATGTATAATACTGGGTCCAAGCACCAAATTCAGCAATTGAGATCTCAAGCTAGGAGTAGTTAGGCGGACCCCATCCAGTCACTGAAGTATTAGGGTTGACCTTACCACGGAAGAATCATTGTTCACTCACGAGACGAGGCAAGATCTAAGTGGTCAGAGCATGGACTCAAATAGACTATAATGCCAGCGACTCGGTCCACGTGAAACCCCCAAAACCTCGGTTCCCTTCTGTACTTTGCAATGCAAGAGTCTTAAACTGCACTAGGTCCATGTACTCCTGTACACGCCTAGCCGTAACTCTGCAATGCAAGCGTCTTAAACTGCACTAGGTCCATGTACTCCTGTGCACGCCTAGCCGTGACTCTGCACTGCAAGCGTCTTAAACTGCACTAGGTCCATGTACTCCTGTACACGCCTAGCCGTAACTTTGCAATGCAGGCGTCTTAAACTGCACTAGGTCCATGCACTGTACTCCTGTACACGACTGTACACGCCTAGCCGTGACTCTGCAATGCAAGCGTCTTAAACTGCACTAGGTCCATGTACTCCTGTACACGCCTAGCCGTGACTTTGCAATGCAGACGTCTTAAACTGCACTAGGTCCATGCACTGTACTCCTGTACACGCCTAGCCGTGACTTGGCAATGCAAACGTCTTAAACTGCACTAGGTCCATGTACTCCTGTACACGTCTAGCCGTGACTTTGCAATGCAACCGTCTTAAACTGCACTAGGTCCATGTACGGTACTCCTGTACACGCCTAGCCGTGACTAAAGTCCAGCCCCACTACCTCCTACACCAACTTAGGCCTATGCGCATAGGACCTCCAGGTAAACTTGATCACTGGATCACGATGTTCTCACTGCAGTAAGACACATCTACTCATTCCTCTGGCCCAGGTTACATACTGACAATCCCTTCTCACAAGGTCTCACAGTGGCCAAACTTGCATGGCAAAACAAAAAGTTGATGTTCACGATCAACGAATCTCAAGTACTAATTAAGTGCCCTTCACGGCAATTGAGAGACGTGACCGACCAACCGGTTCTGTTCCTAGAGATCCATACGGATCCGTGGTCTCCTTCTCTGTGGGAACCTAGCCGCAGCAACTCCCCCTGGGTTCCCTGGACTGGCCAACCTTTCTCTTCCAGCTGGTTCTGAATCTGATGAAGACTCACAAGGTGGAACCTGAATGTCATTTAACTTCGTAAACATATCCCTACCCACGAACCTTTTCACTTTCTCTGCTGCTCTTTTAATTATCTCTGTTTCGTCGGACATGTTGGTGAGTTCGTAGGCGGCACCGTCTCGGATGATATCAGTTACTGTATACGGACCCCTCCATTTAGCGTTCAATTTCCTACTAGTACCTGGAAGAGGTACTTCAGCCCTCACCCATACCATTTGTCCCAACTGGACTTCTTCGTTCTTCCTATCTCTATTGGCTCGTTGTCGGACTTCACTTGACGTTCTCTCGGAAGTCTTTTTTATTAATCGGTGAGCTTCCCTTAACCCCTCACTACTTTCACTTTCTACTACAGGTAATTCAATACCCACTTGTCGGTGAGCATGGCGTGAGAAAAAAGCAAAGTGTGGCTGCACTCCAGTCGTGGAGTGCACCGCCGTGTTCAATGCACACTGCACGGGACCTAAGAACTTGGGCCAACGTCGGGGGTTGTCTTCACACAGGATGCCAAGGAGGGTCTTAAATGTTCGGTGCATTCTTTCTGTAACACTGTTGCCTCGGGGGTGGTATGGCAAAGTGAAATATGAACTAATATTGCTCCTTCTACAAAAACTCTTAAAGTGGGCTGCTGTAAATTCCCCTCCATTATCGGCAATCACCGTCTTCGGGCTGCCAAATACATTAGTGAATTTCTCAAATTCTCGGGTAACTTCTTGGGTCGCTTTAGTTCGAAGGGGGTAGAAGTTAACAAACCTAGAGTAATGATCGAGGACCGTCAACACATAACGGTACTCATTGATCCCCGCATGCATGTCAGTCAGGTCGACAGAAACTCGCTCGAGAGGCTTGGAAACTACCGGTAAGGCCTGCCATTTCTGGGTAAGACCCCTAGTCCCCTTGAACTTCTGACAGCTTTCACATGATTTCACAAAGTCAATACAATCCTTACGGTAGTTTGGCCAGTAGAATAGACTTTCTGTCTTGGCAATGGTTTTCCACTGCCCTAAGTGACCTGACTTTGCACTATTGTGTACTAATTTTAAGGCGGCTTCACGTAAATGATCAGGTACTACCAAGCAATAGAGTAATGCTTTGTCAATCTGTTCTTTCACCAGATATAAAACCCCATCTATCACTTCAAACTTATCAATGGTGGTTTTAGGGTATCTGTGCCTCGGTAACTTTTCCCCAGTCAAATACTGTAAGAGCTCTTTCCACCGTGGTTCTTTCTGTTGTTCTAGTCCAAGCTCGGCAGGTGTTAAGCCCTCTAGCGTAGGAAATTGATCGACTAGGTCTTTCAGCCGCCCTTCCCTTACTACTCTCACAGGTCTACTTAACGCATCAGCTACAACATTTGCTTTACCGGGTTTATAATCAATTGTAAAGGAATATTCCCTCATTTCTAACATCCACCTGTTCATCCTCTGATTCTTAGTCTTCTTCCTGAAGACGGAGGTCAGAGGTTGGTGGTCAGTTTTGATAGTAAATTGTGTGCCCCACAAAAAATGATGGAAGAACTGGCATGCTAATACAATTCCGAGGGCTTCCTTATCGGTGGTAGAATAACGAGTCTCAGTGGGTTTTAATTTCTTGGAAAAATAACCGACCGGACGTAACGAGCCATCCGTCTGCAGCTGATTGAGGGAAGCTCCTACACAGACGGCACTGGCATCGCTGTGCAATTCAAAGGGTTTATCGGCATCTGCCTTAACGAGAACTGGAAATGATGTGAGGGCGTGTTTCAACTTATCAAAGGACATCTGACATTTATCAGTCCACACGAAAGTGATATTTGCTTTAGTGAGTTCGGTGATAGGATAAGCTATCTTGGCAAAGTTGGGGACATGTTTACGGTAGAAGCTACACATCCCTAAAAACCGGCGAACTTGCTTCACATTACTTGGGGGTTTACACTCTGATACAGCTCGGACATTCTCTGGATCTGGTTCAATGCCTCTCTCTGACATTACATGCTCTAAAAATCTCACTTGTTGTTGGCCAGACTGACACTTCAATAAGTTTAACTTGATTCCCATTTCTACGAATCTATCAAACACTCTGGCCAGCCTGTCCACCAACGTTGTGAAATCATTCGCCCACACTATCACGTCATCGAGGTAGTTTCTCACCCAGTTCTTCGCTGCAAAAAGGGGCTACCACAAGGTTTACTTCTCTGGTAAAATAAAAAGAATAACGGGACTGGCTGAAAAAGCCCAAAAGATAAGCGTATAAACTTTCATAAGTTATATTCCATCACTAAATGGGGTTAGGTCTCGACTTTTGTCGTTAAGTATTACTTTAATAATTTGCGTCTCTCAAGTCTAAAGTAGCATAATACTTATTTCTGGCAGCTTTTCCTACTAATTCATCTAACCTGGGAAGGGGTTGTATATCTACTTTCAAACGTTGGTTTACCGCTCGGAAATCTAAACACATGCGTTTGGAACCATTGGGTTTAGTGACTAAAACAATGGGAGACAACCAAACAGCGGTTGATGGTTCGATGATATGTCTGTCGTGCATGTCGGTGATCATGCCTTTAATGACATCCTTAGCCTTTTCAGGGTGTCGGTACTGTGGCCCTCCAATGGGGTTATCGTTGGCTAGTTGGATATTAGCGGGATGCCCCGCAATGGTACCTATTTCCCGAGGTCCTAACACAAACAAAGCAGTGTGATCCAGCATTACACCCTCCAACATCTTGCACATATCTCTAGTCAAATGTGGCCAAGGTTGATTTCTAATCAGTTCTTTCAACTTTCCCATATTTACTTCATCACAATATGGTATCATGCTGTTCGAAATCCCCTGAATAAGCCTTACGTTATTGATGGAAGATGTTGGTATGCCATTACAGATCACACAAGGAGTGGGGGGGGAGCATTATTATCATCTACTGGAATGACTTTCAAGGTACTGGGCCTATTCTTCTGTTCAAGCTGGATCGCCAAGTAATGGGATGCACATAAGGATATTTCCTTTGCTTGACTGACTTTACATAATTCATCATATACTTGTGGAATGTTCCCTAGATTGGTCCCTGCAGTATCTAAATAAGAAATTTCTCGCTCCGGGATTAGCTCATACTACCCAAGTATTGTACCGGTGAGCAAACAGACTGCTTTCGAGGTTACGTTACTAAAAGGAACATATATACTTGAATCCGAATTGACGCTCACGCATATTTCTGGATGTTGTTTGAAATAACGATGGGTAAACCTGAGACGTAAGATCTGACCTTCTCCCTTCTCAAACACCCAAATTCTAGTAGCCATGACAACCACTAGCTTTCTCAGTCTTCTTTGCATACGAGTTGCAACTTATTAACAACTACTGTGATCATCGTGCGTTGATGTCCCAACAAACTTCTACAAAACTACCCCACCAAAGATAAACTCAATTAACACCCTTCAAGACACGGGGGTAAACATTAACACAAACTTGCATAGGATACTTCTTAAATTACAATCATGAAAATTATTGGTAATAGTATCGGAGACTGTCACACAAAAAATTAACGATCTCTAAAGAAAACAACACAGAAGTTTCACTTCACAAGGTACTCAGAGTAATGCTAAAACATTAAGTGATGATACTTGACAAGAATGTCCCATGAAAATATCACTCTTCATTTCAGGAATGACTACAGAAAAGCCGATTTTCGGTACTCGACAAGTATTCACTGTCTCTTTTCAATTATCTGGACTATGTGCTGTACTCAACACTTGGTGGACCTTACTTGTAATTTCAACTAGTATCTGGTTTCAGAGATTGCATTCTTAGAGGCATCCATCTCACCACAGGGTTCTCAACCCAATCAACACATTTGCTGAAAATACACAGGCATTAGTTCTCAAATACATATAGCACATTTATTAACAATGCATATAAGTCTACACTGTAAGAAATTGTATTGCAGTCTTTAATGAAATTATCAGTTAAAGAAACAGATTAAAAATGCCATATGGAAAAATCTCTAACACTAAACTTTTGTTATATCAATAAATTCACTTGTCATAAACTGACATCAAATGGAAACTAAAACCCTTTCTAGTTAAATCACAATTAAAGTCACTAGAAAAAGAACCGAAAATAATTAAATACACACAAAGAGAAATCATATAACACTCAATTCAGGTGATATAATATAAATTCAAGTTAGAAAAATACTTCAAGTGAGAGTCTGAACACTTTCTATTGAAATCACCTAGAAAAATACTTCAAGTGAGAGTCTGAACACTTTCTATTGAAATCACACCAATATTTCCAATAAATGCCACAGCTACAAATAAAACATTGGATTACATAACCTTTGTACAACTGACACTTCCGCTGGCAATCGGAGATGAACACTGTTCATCACACTTTTAACATGGAAGATGTATACTGCCCACTCAATGTCTGTAAATATCAATATATTAATTCCCTGGTCACAAATATAAAAATAAAATTTACACTAATGTGCAATTACCACTTTAGAAATTTCACACAATAAAAACTCAAAAGATCAGTTAGGTAGCTTACTAAAAAGTTGGTGCTTTACCTAACTTTGTGACACCCAAAAAGTTATAACTTTCTTGCACAAAAAACAATTGTGAAAGTGAATCAATTGTTAGTTCTTCCCTTAACTCTTTAACAAAATATCTTTGCAGTTCCAAATACATTAGTATTGTACAGTACTTGACACAAAAGTTTGTACTTTAAATCACACACTTATTTGTACTCTTTACTGATGACAAAATTGTACATTACTGTATACTGTATTTTGAGAAAACAAATTCACCAAAGTACCACACCTCATTCCTTCAAATTGGTTCTCAAATGAAAATAATCCCACTAGCTGGTCACCATTTGTAACGGGCCGAGTTTCCTCTTTTCAATAATTTACCATCCAGTTATTCTTTTCAATGAGTATCCGGTTTTATATACTTATCCTTCTTCAGTTCCTAACACACATACTTACTTTATATATTCTTGCTTATATTCTTATATGTTCTTTATCTCTATATACCTTATATTCTTATATAAGTAACTCTTATGCTTCTCTGCTTATATTTTCCAAGTCAATGTTCTTTCTTTTCATTTCCTTTCATATATTATAATCTCTTCCATATATTTTGTTCTAGTTATATTCTAAACCATGGATTAACCTGGGAAACCATGTCTTTGTTATTACCACACTTATTATACTTACAACGGTAGCCTGCCACCACCCAGGATTTTTCTAGAATATAACATCTCTTAGTTAACTGTTAGGTAGCGAGCTTCTAGGCACGTGAGTTAGTTATTTTCTGAGAACCAATGTGGGAAAGGATAGAGTTGGTGATACTCGTAGACGTAGATTACTAATTCAATAATTATTAACACAATGATTGGATAAGATGCATCTTAGATTCACTCAGACAAAGCAGAACTGCAATTTATTTCTTAAGTCATCAAACACTTCAAGAACATATTACCTCATTAAATACAGTGGGGTATGCTATAACGAACGGATTCTACTATGAATATTCCTATAACGAACGGTTTTACCTATAAAATTGAGAATGCTATAACGAATGCAACTCCTACAACGAACGCGGATGAATACGGGACTATTTCGTCTGGCGCACGAATATTTTTGTACCGCAGCTCACATCAAGAGCGTTAGGCGCCATATTGGTTCATTGTGTAATCAGTGCACCATTGAACTTGTTGAAATTTCGTCTTTTGATGTGGAAATTCGTGTTTTTTTTATAATTATTTTGTTATACAAGTGTACAATTGTAACAATGAATCGTCAAAAGCAGTGAGAAAGCTAATAACCCTTGAAACTAAGAAAGAAATTATAAATAAACAGACAAAGTGCCTGTAAGACAGTCACCAAAGAGGGCTAGGAAGGATGACTCCTCTCATTCCACCTCTTCTCCATAATGATCTCCTCCCCCTTCCTCCTCTGCCTCCTGTCCTGCATGCTAACAACACTAAGGTAAGATAAAGTACCGTATTTTTTACAATTTCACAGAAATTTTTCAGTGTCAAGTGGTTGTATTTGGGGGCCTGGAACGGATTATTCCTATAACGAACGAGGTTCTAGAACCAATTAGATTCGTTATAGCATACCGCCACTGTACCTCCAAATACTTATTACTTCAATCGACAATTGTGGTATTGTCACTCTGCCAAATGATATTCAGTACTGGGTATACACCAGATATCACTGGACCCTCAGGTCTTACCTTACCAAGTAGCAAATTAACTCTTCACTTCTTGGTTATATCATTATACTCTCAGATTATCATTTCATGGTCACTACCAATGAATACATAGCACACTGGACAACTCCACAATTATCTCAACATACAATACCTCCTGTTAATTCACAAGGAACAACATGGCACTTTTAACTCTCATTCAGTGGTTCAATACTTAACCTGGGATACTATATTTCTGCTAGTTATCCCCCAAACAAGGTACCATAATACTTAGGCCTATGTGACTGTGAGGAGTGCCCCAGGGTAACACTGGTCTCTACAACAAATGAAGATCGCTGTTAGGGGTCGGTTGTAGGCCGACACACGCTCAGGGAGTGGGCGCCTGATTTGCAGGAAACGGACTTCCCAGTTCAGTCCTGTCGAATCAACGGCATCGTCCAACCCGGTTACCGCCCCACGTTAGCCGATGAGTATTCAGCTCAACACACTGGAGAGACGTTGAGGAAGTCACGAATGCGTAAAGGTCTAACTTCAACTATACAAAACATACGCCTGGCAACGGTTCAGACAATATCTAAATCTCTACGTTACTCGACTTAATTGGCACAGAATTCACTGTGTTAACACATGAGCACTGATATTCACCAAAATTGACTAAGTTAAACTGAATTAATAGGCGGCGGGAACACACGTTAACATACCTGGAGAGACGTTGAGGAAGTCACGAATGCGTGATTCTCCCTCGTGTCGAGGTATATACGTGCACTCGCGAGCAGCTTGGGCCTCCATATTCATACCAGAAGGGTCGATCTTACCAACAACATAACTTCTCTATCATTTTGGATCACTGTATACTTAGTTATGAACTCCGGTGTTCTTGATCAGGGTAATTTCCTATGTCTATTCATATAATCTAATCAGAGGTTGAGCTTGCCAGGAAAAGGTGGAATATACACGTCGATAACATTAATTCTGCAAGCTTAGGTCTGAGGCGAACAAGGGGCTATTCACGGGGAGACGCTAGATCTTGGAGATTATACCAGTTGACAGAATAGTTCAGGAGATTAATGACTTTCTCAAATAGACAACTGACACTAATTAAACTATAAACATCAGATTCTCTGATGTCGGGGCGACAAAATGATATAACTTCAGGCGCGATCAGAAACTCATGGATACCCCCACGGACGACATAAAATACGCCACTCTAGCTGGCAAACTCGACACTCACTTACGTGACACGTTCTACTAACGATAAGGACAGTTGAAGCATTCTACCCCACTCACAATGGATCTTGAATGTTCCAACTGTAAACAGACATATCTAAGTTGACTCAAAACAAGGGTGTTCTCTCTCACACTCAAATTCATTTTATAGAGAGGTTGGTTTCAGTAAGTCAGAGAAAATGGGATAACGGAGGACTGAGGTGTCTTGAAGTGATGAGAAAACGGACTCCTCAGATGGAGGACTCAAACGAAAGCCGAGTTACATGTTTTGTGGGCTATTAAGCGTAATATGAATCATTTGATTTTGGCGCTAACTGACGTGTAAGACCGTGGTCATTACGGTGTAAAAATGTATGAAATTTAGAGTTTTTGTTTTCAGCATGAAAAGATAAAGTAAATGTCTCATGACAACAAACTCTCAAACACAAGACTTGATTAATGTGTCACAGACTTATCTAAAGGTTTACCTGCATGGGAAAATTACTCCCTAGTTAATATTATGAAACATTGTAGACTATCTGGTGAAAGATGTACTATACCTTTTCCACGCCAACCTGGCCCATAAGCCACGCCCCTCGTCTATAGCTACAAATAGCTGATTGGTTCCCCTGAGCGTCTTACGTCCCCCCAGACTGAGCATGTACAAGCACGTATTTATATCGATCTTTTGTGATAATTAAATCAAATTTTCTAACATCCTCTCTGAAGTGCTAATGCCTTGAAATCATTTGCATTTTTATAGTTCAGATACATATTTAACATTATTTTTAGATATTAAATTTCTATGAACCAATCAGCTATTAGTACAGCATAGAAGAGGGACGTGGCTTATGGGCCAGGTTAGCATGGAAATATTACTATAGGTGTTTCCTGCAGTGTTAATATTTTGACTGTATTTGGACAAAAACTTTATTATTAGTCGTTGTATAAACTGTTAAATGAATAAGCTAATAAGTTTGTGTACTGTTGCCTAAATGTCATAACTTGAAGGACTTGGTGTCATTTTTATGCTTAAAAGCTGCCCTTTTAATAGTTTCATCTCAATAATGGCTGCACCACAGGACTTAACCATTCATCTAGTACTGCATCAAGGATTTGGTTAGGATAAAAGAATTTGATAGAATGGAGACCCATTATCTGTGAAAATGTGGATATTCTTGTCAGTTAAGGCACCTATTACAGTATCAGGGCTAATTGTTGTTGTAATTTCATATTTTATTCAAAGGTACAAGAACTGGAGCCAGGAGATACTGGCTCAAATAAATAACAGTTTAACACTTTCTATATGAAGCCACAGACAGCACTTGGGGAAACCACATGAAGCACTGATGTACCCAGCCAACCACAGTATATCCTGGACTGTAATGTGTAGCTTCTGGAAGTAAGTTGTCAGGTTTGTTGATACTGTACAGTGACAAGCTTCTAGGACACTGTCCTGGGTTTAATCCCCAGCATTGGTCAGATGTGAGAAGGGTGACTCTACCAAACATGGCAGGTTTCCTCCTGCCCTAACACTGGACAACAAAAGTTATGACAGACAAACCAACTGTTATAATAAAGTTAGTGCCTAAAAAGGGAAATCTGAATTTAATTGAAAACTGGAGACCAATAACCCCCCTGAATGTAGATTATAAAATTAAATAGTTGCAAAAATATTGTCAAGGAGAATTAAACCTATTTTACATTCAATATTGTCAAACGACCAATACTGTTGTATTAAAGGAAGGTCAATAATAGATTGTAATATCATGGTTAGGGATATAGTGCAATTTGTTAGTAGTGAGAACCACAAATGTGCCATGATAAACTTAGATTGGTCAAAAGCATTTGACAGAGTTGATATAAAATTTGTATTTAGGGCAATGGAAAAATTAGGCATTAACAATGTTTATGTAGACTGGATTAAAATGTTGTATGGAAATTGTGAGAGTAAGGTTTTGGTTAATGGTATCCAAAGTAAGTCATTGAAAGATCAGTAAGACAAGGATGTCCTCTTTCTATGATTCTCTATATATTTTTCCAAGAACCTTTTTATTTATCAGTAAACAGCAATGCCAGAATAATTCCCCCACAGTTACCAAACAACATAAAAATTCCCATACTGGTATACGCTGATGATTCTACAGTCTTTGTTGTCACACACCAGTCCATAATTGAGGTTAGCAGAGAAATAGAAAGGTTTGAAGAAGCAACAGGTGCTATATTAAACAAAGATAAAACAAGTATTATGGGCTTGGGTGAGTGGAGGAAGAGAGATTTATGGCCTGTGCTGTGGATGAGATCAGCAGAATATTTCAGAACTTTAGGCACTATATACAGTATTATGAAGATGACGAACACGCTGCTAATATGAATTGGAACAAAATCTTGGAAAATATCAGCATTACTGTGAATTATTTATCAAACAGAAGATTATCCTTGCACCAAAAAGCAATTATTGTGAACTCAAAAGTTTGGTCCAAGGTATGGTACCTATCCCATACATTTCCATTAAATAAAATGTACTCACAGAAAATTGAATCATGTATTTTTAAATACATATGGAGTGGTATGTACC